CACTAGTTATACGTTCAATTAAAGGCATGATAGGAACCAACCACAAAGCTATTACACGTATTTGGTGTAATAACTTTGTGGCTTATTCCTCATTTTATCGTACCTTTAACTGATTGAACGTGTGTCTCAGTCACTACTTAACACGGGGTGGGCAATTATTATGGCCTGCGGGCCACATAGGCAGTTTTGGGGAGCTGCCACGGGCCACTCAGCACCTCCCACCCCCTGTAACAGCTTGGAGCCTGTGTGCCCTGCAGCTCCTTCGCAGCACCACCAACAGTGCATAGCCCCAGCCCCAACCCCAGCCTGCCCTACACCTGCTTTGAACTGCCTGCCCACACTGAGCAGTGGCAATGGCTGGGCAGAAGCTGCTGCTCAGTGTTGGGGAAAAGTGCCTTCTTGCTATAGACTCCCAGAGCCCATGCCCAGGCTGCCCGGTAGCTCTTCTCCGCCACCATCACTGCTGCCTCTGGGCTGCCCAGCAAAAGGCAGTGGTAGCAGTACAGAGGAGCTGCAGAGCAGCCCTGGCACAGGCTCTGGGTGGCTGCAGCAAGAAGGGCCCAGCAGTGGCAAAAGGGAGGGGCTGCTATTCCCATGCACTGAGCAGCAGCTACTGGCCAGCCGCCACCACTGTTCATTGGGGGTGGATGAGTCCCGAGAAGGTCCAGGGTGGGCCGGGGTTGAGGCTGTGTTTGGTCTGGAGCTAATCCTCTCTGCTAGGCTGAGTCTGGAGCAGGCACGGGGCAGGCCGGGGTCAGGGCTGTGCATGTGGGTCCTCACCGGTACCATGGGGCTGGGGCCAGTGGTGGCATCAGCCGAAAGGAGCCACCACCACCTGGGTTACCTAGAAAGGCAGTCCAGCTGTTGAGTCATCCCAGCCTTGCTGTGAGCCCAGGGGGCAGTGGGCCTGACAGCACCCAGACCAGGCGGGACCAAGGAACCCACCACGGGCCAAAGTCTGTCTGTGGGCCAGATTCAGCCCATGAGCCATATTTTGTCCATTCCTGACTTAAGACATAATTAATCATTTAATCACATCTTAAATGTAATGTCTGTCAGGGTCTTAAGTGATTTTTTTTTTTTTTTTTTTTACAGGGGGCAGAGTGGGAAAGTTCTTTCTTACTCCCTGTCTTATGGAGTCTTTCATCCTCTCACACTTTTCTTTCATGTGAGGAGGATGAAGGTTAGTTTTGGGCTACATAGTCCTTCTCTTTAACGAGTGAGGACATCAAAGAAGAGCAGCCAAGAAACTTCTCTAACCATGGGATTCTAGAAGGGAGGACAGGGTGGCACCTTATTCAGAGACACATGAGTTTTTGTAAGCTACAGCCTACTTCCTCAGACGTTATGAATTCATGAATCTGACAAACTAGGCCACCCCAATGGGCATATCCAGCATTTTGAAAGATGGGGTGTGTGAATTCTGACCTCACAGACCAGCACTTTAGGGATAACTGCTCCTCAAGTTCCAGCATCCCCTGCCACACCACCAGGGCAAGCAGACCACACTGGAAGACTAGCAACAGAGAGTTTTTTTAAGATCCTCAAGCAAATAAAAGCCTGCCCTACCTCCTTTCCCTCCATGCTCAGAGGCACATTCGCTCTCCTGCTCTCCCATTTCCTCCCTCCTATGGCTACCTGTAACAGGGGGCCTGCTTGGGGCTGATTCAACCGTGGCCCGCCCACCTGTTTCTGGGCTAACCACCCGCCTTCTCACCCGCCACGCCTAGTTGGAGTTAATTAATAGATGTTATTAAGTGGGAGGCTGCCCATTTCCTGTCCCGATGCCAGGGGGCACTATCTGAGGCTCCTTTCCTCCCCTACGTCGCGGCCCAAGCCTCATAGATGGCATCTAGGTATTATCATAATCACCAGCCCCCACATTGGGCCCCAGAATCCTCCTAATTGAACCTGCCTGGATTCCTCTCATCAGGCAGGCTCATCCACTTTCATATTAGGCAGCATAGCTCCCCGAACTGCTTCCCCTTCTGGGTGTGGTCCCCCCACCATCTACCTGGCTCTGCCATCTACCTACCTTCAGACTAGCTGCTCTAACTACCTCTTGCTATAGTATTCCAATTTCTAGTACTATTATAAAACAGCACTCAGTTCATTACCCATACCAAAGTATAATCATGGCAGTTGACGTGTGTCCAGAAAAATTGATTTCATCCATAGAAAAAAAATCATATGTACACATTTTCCATTCTCTCTTTCAGGTAATATCATCATGGTGTATCCATTTTTTTTTTTTTTACTGAATATGTTAATTGTATTTAAATGTGAATGACACTTACCTGTGGCTTCTTCTAGTGTGGCAACATCAAGCCTGGGACTGTAAATTCCATAACCAGCAGCAGTAAAAGCACGAATCTGGAAAACATATACTGTTCCTGGTTTCAAATTATTAATGGAAGCTGAAGTGGACTTGGTTTTTACTGTGGAATAGGTCCTCTCCCTTTGATCCTAGAAACAATAATATAAAAAAAAAAAATCAAATGACATTACAGATAAGATTTCATTATTGTTGTACATAAGCTACTGACAAATATTCCTGCCCATTTATTTCAATTTTCCATGCTCTTTTCACATAAAAATGTAGTGCACACCATGGCATTATACCACACTGTCACTTCATTGAGGAGTTCTTAAAATGACATAGCATTTATATAGAAAGCACATGTCAGTAATACAAATCCAGCAATAAAATTATTGGTTTTGTGTCTCTTATTAAGTTTTCCTTATATTCCAGTATAAGAATATTCCAAGGAAAGAGGGTAGTAAAGCACTGGAACAGGTTATCCAGAGAGGTGGTAGAATCTCCCTCCTTGGATGTTTTAAAGACATAACTCGACAAAACCTTGGGTGGGATGATACAGTTGCAAGCAGTTCTCATTTGAGCAGAGTGTTGGACCAGATCAGTGATTCCCAACCTTTTTTATACTGTGGACTGGCATGGGAGCGGGATAGGGTGCATGGAGTTGGCTACCTCCCTCCCAGAGCTGTTCCGCCACCCAGCTTTAACCCTGCATGTGATTGCTGGTGGCAGAAGCCACTTACCCAGGCAGACATGGGAGCCCGAGTGGGGGCCTCATGCCATGACCGGGCATCCAACCCTTTGTGACTCGGTAGTTGGGAACCTCTGGATCAGATGACTTCCTGAGGTGCCTTCCCACCCTAATTTTCTATGATTCTATAATTCTATGAAAAGTTTGCTTGTTGATGAATTCCAAAACTGCTTTCTACTGAAGAATCAAAATATAAATGGAGCTTGAATAATGTAGCTCTTGGGTTTTGAAATGTCTTCCCATATCATTCCATGGTAAATGATCCTTATAGCAAATTCCTTATTCTGACTAACTTCCCACAATCCTAAATAGCTCCCTCTACCTTCTTTATCAGAGAAATTCTATGTGATTCCTTTCAACAGCAACAGCACCAATAGCAATAAACTGGATATTGGATTAAATTCTGAAGTTATTGCTTAGTTTTTACTCCATTTTTACTGAAGCAAAATCTACACTGTGAGGCAACACAAGCAGAGAGTGAACTGCTCACTATATCATCCACAAAAATTAAAAGCAACACAATTACAAAATCCATATGTATCAACTCTTTTTTAAAAGCTGCTACACAGGTTCTGATGGACTGCAGCTGGCTACACTTACACATTGCATTGACTGGCCTAAATTGTCTTTCATTGTAGATGTGTGCAGTTCTGTTGATTTCAATGATGTTTTGTTCACTTAAACCAATGGAGAATTTTGCCCATTGTATTCCAGTGTAACAACAAAGCCCTTGCATTGAAATACAGAAACCCATAATTACATATAGTGTGTCAGATTTCTTTTACAGGATCTGATGATGCCTACCCCCATTGCTCATCCATGCTATCTTTTGACTAAGCACATCAGTTAATGTAAAATATTTTCATATCTCCACCAAGAAGAAATAAATGGCATTTAAGCAAAGAGAATTGTGGAGAGCGTGTATGCGTGCATGTGTGGTGAATGGATTTATTGGGTTTGTGGACACCAGTGGAATTCTAATAGTTCAGAGTTTAGCTCCTGATACATAAATGAAGTTTATTTGAACTGTGCAAATCTGAGTTTGAAAAAGAAACACAGAGATGTAAGGCAAGAAAGCTCATAAGAACAAACATACTTGTGAGATTTCCGGCACTTTCCATTTCCAGTCCTACCCAGATATCAGACATAGAAACACTTTCAGAACATTTCAGAACCTCAAGAAATATTTGATTTGATTTGGTGAACTTGGCTGAAAGTGCAAGATATTGTATATATTACACATATAAATTATCTATATATCTATATAAAATGTTTTACTCTTTGAAATAAAGATCAAAAGCACACTCAAACCTTCAGTGTTAAGTGCATTCATAACTTTATATATTGTGAGTATTCCCACTGACAAGAAACTATTTGCAGGTGCAGAATTCAGTTAATGTGTAACTGCTTGCAGGATAAAGGCCTTCTTTTCTTATTAATTTAATTATAACTATAAATTAATGTATGTAGGTAGTTTCTTTGCAACAGTAATTTAATAACATTTCTTGAGCTATGCACAGTTAGAAACTTAGCAATAAAATACATATATACATGTATGTATGTATGTATGCATATATACACACACACAAACACACACATATACATATATACATACATACATACATATATATATATAAAATATAAAAATAAATATTATATTTAATAAGCTCAAGACTTGTGTATGATGATATAGAGTTCTGTAACTTCATCTAGAATTTTTTCAGTGATTTTTCACAAAGTGTAATGTTAATTTTTACAGACAAAACCCCCACTTTGGATATGGAATAAACAAAGCAAGACTAAAACAATACAGTCTGGGCTTTGGTAAATGTGTGACATTTTTTGTTTCATTTTAAGCTGGAATTTAGTTTTTAGTTTTTTAGGTTGTGGGAAGAAAGACCTGAATTCACTAGTTGAAATAATAAAATTCCTGTTGAAAGTCACAATGTTGAAGTATAAAAATCTCTAACAAATTCTGTAATATGAATACTTAAATAATGTATTACTTGGAGTTATGAATGATCAGTGAACTAACTAATTACATTTTTACTTTCTTTTTAAAGTCACATAAAGCTATTTAGATAAGTATATTTGTATTATTCAGAGATAAGATAATTAATGTTGGATATGATCTGATATGAATTTTTCTAATCACACGCTATATAGTAAGCTGACATACTCAGCTTTGAAATAAATATTCACTTACTTTGCATATGGAGCTCAAATATAATATCAAGAGAAGCTCCTTATTATTATATCTTTTATAACTTCATTCAGTTTTCTCTGTAGAATTTTTATAGCACTAATTACTATCTTATGTATATGCAACCTTTCCATTTTAGAGAATTCCAAAATTGTTACAGATTACGAATGAAATCCTGGCCCAGCTGACATAAACAGCAACCCCCACCCCCCACCCCTTATTGATTATAGCGGTGCCATCAATATACATAAAGGGTTCACTTCACTCACTACTGAACGGCAACCACTTGATAGTAATACAGTCTTATTTTAAAAAGGGCATGTAAAAATGGCTCTCACATTACTGGAAGTTTATGAGGGCAAATGAAAAATAATTTACCCACTGAAATTAACAGGACAAATTTAGGAAGATTTAAGATGTCAGATATATCATATCGAACTTCTGGAAAGTAAGTCCTTTTACTACCAGAAGCAATAAGGAGATATATTTTATGCCTCCTCACAAGAGCAAAGTTCCAATGTTATATGAGTAACTAACAAAGGGATTAGAAACAAGGTAGAAAAAACAAAAAAGCCACAAATCGCTTGGTAAAACGTGTTCAGCCATGCTTAGCAAAAAAGAAAATATCTTGTCAAGTAACTGTTTTCATTTTTAAATATAAAAATACAGAACATACAAGGACAAGAAATGCAAGAGAAAATAAAATAGGTAAAATCAACTACAAATGTCAGGTGACACCAAGAGATAATAGTTGGTATAATCACAACATTAAAATTTGCACACTGCAGAGTGGGGTGACATGATGTAAATGGCCCATTGTTGTACATTTAGATGCTCTCAGCACTTACTTTCTCATAATACTTGATTTCATATTCAGTGATGACTCCATTGGGATGTTCCGGTTCCTGCCAGGAAAGCTCCACACTTCTTTGTAGCACTCTCTCTTTCATTACTCCGCTAACTTGCGAGGGAGCTGTTTGGACAAGATGTGTCAATAAACAATGAACAAATTCATTGGATGCTTCAAATCAAATGCCACTACTGATCAGTCCCATGCTGTGCCACTTTCATTAAGGTAAAAGAAAGCACCTTTTCATAGGCCACAATTCAAAACCTAATGAATATTCAAGCAGGACCTTATTACTGTTCATAAACCATAATAGAAATCAAATTAAAGTGCAAACTGCAAAAGATGGCATTGTTCAAGTTAGTGCAAAACTGGAATTGATGGGATCAGAATGACAATTAAGCAAATGAATTCTAATTAAGCTAAGAAAGTAGATTTTTAGATTAATCTCCTGTGGTAAATTAAAAGTCTAAATATTTATTGCATATGTTTCTACAACAGTTATAAAAAAGAAGAGTGAATAGAAAGAAAACATATATAAATGTCAAATTCTAACTCAGTTCAAACAATTATGTATAGATTCTTTTATTAGCGTATATCATTTTCTTGGTTGTGATAATGACTACACAAAGACTGCAAAATTATTTTGATAATAACAGTTTCTTTCCCTCACTCTAAAGTTTCAGAAACACTCATCTTATTTGGGCAGAGTTTCGATGCTTTTTGGAAGTTCAAGAAAATCCAATAAACTTTTTTTTCTGTGAAGGAGAGAGAGAGAGTACAAAAACTTTTCCTCGTGTCATACACACTTCAGAAATTTACTCAGAAACAGGTGAATTTGGAAACTTGAAACAGTCTAGAAAAGTGTAGCACTATCACTTCACTTGAGGGAAAATAATGGTCAGTACAATGCTAAACTCTAAGTGACTGAAGAGGTAAAAACATTTTTCCAAAGTAATTTTGTTTTTATGATGGACCTACATTCTTTGCATAAATCATAACTCATAGATATTTCTGTCTTATGATGCTGAATAGTGGAATATTTTCTTATATATTTTCAGCAGAACTATCCGCATCATTTGATGTTACTACTTCAAGAGAGTTGGAGAAAGATAAAAGAAACTCATAATACTCTAAGTGTACAGGTCTTGATATTGCTCCCATTAAAGTCAAGGGAAATAATCCCATTAGCTTTAACAGTGAAATATCAACTCCACATTGAATACAAGCACATATGCAGAGAAGGTCTGATCTGCCTCCTACTGAAATCAATGAGAAGATATCCCCCCACCCCCAACAAATAAATGGAAACTGGATCATATTTAGAGTCCATCCACAACAGTGCATCCATACGTAACTTTGATAAATCATATATAGAGATAAAATTAATGTTACCTCCCTGTGACCCAGCATCCGTTGCTGTAGGCATTCTGGTGAGTTTAATTCTTTCAGATGCACAGATAAAACCATCACTGTGTTAAATGATGCATATTTCCACACAAGTAATTGTCTTTAACCTATTGACATCACTGGGAGTAAGTGTCTATCTGTAAGGATTAGCTGAAGAACTAAGAACTTTTGCTGTAACAAATGAATGAACTTGACTTTCCCTTGCCCTATCCACCTCAGTGGCTACCTACACCCTTTTTGATTATAATATTGGTAAGCACACATATTTTCTAAACTTATTTAAGGAATAAGAAAATATAAAATCTCTGCATGCCAACATAGCATTAAATGTTTAAATATAATGCCCAGGTCAAAATATGTAGAGTAGGCTAAGTTAAGGTTGCTTTATAAAACTTACCTACATCATTTCCTAATATATTTTTATAGTAATTGTGAAGTTGTTAACCTTTTTTTATTCTCTGACTTAAAATAACTGTACATATAAGGAGTCTTTAAATTTTAATTTATTTACATTTCATGACACTGTTCAGGCTGTCTTGGAAACAAAGGTTTCAAATTATGCATAATTATTTTCATTATGGACTATTATGTCATTTACTCAGTATAATCAAAGTTGAAGCCCCTTAGTATACACTGCTGAACTGATAAAATCATATAACTGAATCATGCAAACTTCATGGTTTAGTAGACCAGGATCTCTCTCTTTCCTGATAACTGAATGCTCATAGTACTTTCACTCTAATTAGTAGCATATATTCCTTTTGGTAGCTAACTGTGGAATGCAGCAAACCAATTTACTCTGTCTAATTTTCTTTGCAATGATTAACTAGGTGTCTACTTTGTCTGAATGAGTTGCACAGCATGTTGGCTTCACTTCAGAGGGGTCATTAAATATTATGTATCATGTTCTATCCCATCCGGTAAAATGTTTACAGATTGCTGGTTTAAATTTTTAGATGTCCAAAACTGTTAATGTGCATACTTATTTGAAAGGATTATTTATTAGTGAGGTCATTTGAAATTATTCCCAATGTTCACTACCTTTAGTTTTATCTTATTTAGCTTTTTCATTTCACTGGTCATCGTATTTATTTTCTTTTAACCTTGCTTATCTGTGGGGATGGGAAGAGTAATGTGCACAATGCATGAATCCCATTTAACCTCTGCACAAAGCGTAACAATAAAAAAGACATCATTCATTTTCTTCTTAAGAGAAACAAATTTAAAGAAATGCAACAAAATAGAAACAAAATGATTTGCAAACCTTACCAGCATTGTTTTGGGGTGTTCAAATTGAATTTGATGTAGTGAACCTTATTAATGCTCCCACCCTCCTCTCCCCAAAGTAAAGGAAAACCTGTACTGCATTTTAGTATCTAATATAACCTAAAGCTCAGCAAATACTTGTAGGCGTCCTATGGACAGCATATATTTAAAGACCTTCTGACCTTGATTCTGGGCTGCATTCTGGCTCCTTTCAGGCACTTGCAAGAAATACAAGGACAAGAAAGGACCCAAATTTCTTAGTGATGCCTTTAGTTGATGATTACTGTATTTACTTGAATGAAAAACAAGCTGTGTGTCCTTCCTCATTTATGATGGAGGAGAAAGCCCCTTGTCTTGAATTTGAGTACAAGGAAGGGAGCCCATAGTTGCTGAAGCTCCATCTCCAGCCACAACCCCCAGGCTCAGAGTTGGAGCCACAGCCACTGTCTCTCTTCTACCATCTGCACTTCCTTCTTGTCTTCCTTTCTTTACTTTCCCTTCTGTAGCAGTGTAAGGGATGAATTTAAAACAGCCTTCCAATAATTAGATTTGACCAATGGAAAATTATAACAAATGTATACATTTTCCATGTTATAGAATCTAATTATTAGGGGGGTCGTCTTAAATTCAAAGTCATCTTGGATTTACATAAAGTACGCTGCGGGTAGGGGGGGTATAGCCTAAACCACTTTATACCACCACTTGAAGGCTGGGATTTTTTTTTGGAACAAAAAATTCCACTTATATGGAAGTGGCTGTGCTTACAATGTTCACTTCTGGGCAGGATGCTCCTAAGATTATAACAAAGTAAGGCTGCACCCTTCTCAAGGCAGGATCATCCCTGACTATACCATGCCAGCCAAGTATCTGTCTAACAGGCTCTTGAAAATTTCCAAACTGTTCATATCCTTCTTGAAATGTGGGGCCCACAACTTGACACAGTACTCCAGGTGAGGCCTCACTAGTGTTGAACAGAACAAAAGATTCACTTCCCTGATTTGTAAGCACTGCTCTTGTTAATACAGCCTAGTATGCTGTTTGCAACAAGAGCACACTGTTGGCTCATATTCAGTAACCCACGGGTCCTTCTCTGTAGTACTGCAACCTAGCCAGCCATTCCCCAGTCTGTATTTGTGCAAGCAATTATTCCATCCCAAGTTCAGGACTTTGCACCTGTTCCTGTTGAATTCCATGTGGTTGATTGTGGACCAATTTTCCAGTCTCTCCAGATAATTCAGGATCCTGGCCCTTCCTCCAGAGGGTCTGCACTCCACTCAACTAGGTGTCATCTGAAAATTTGCTAACCATGAATGTAACAGGGGGCAAGCTTGGGGCCGGATCTCATGCCTTCCCACCCACCTGTTTCTGTGGACTATCTGCCCAGTCTCTCCTGCCTTGATTTTGTTGTTTCCATAAACTGTTGGTATAAAGTGGGAGACTGCCCATTACTGCCCGGATGCCAGAGGGTGCTATCTGTGGCTCTGTTCCTCCCCTACACTGCAGCCCAAGCCTCGCAGATAGCATCCAGGTGACATCATGCTCCTGGGCTACAGCCAGACTAAGCTTAGCCCTCGTTGTCAGGCCTCAGACATACACACATTCATACCACCCTCCTCTCACAAGGGCCTCTCACGCTCCATCCCCTCTCACAGGATCTCTTTCGTGCAACGACAACTTGTACCTCTTCGCTCCCTCTTGGAGCGGGACCCTTCGGCCATAGGCTTTACCTAGCACACACCTTGGGTGGCAGCTGTACCATCTCTCAGGCCTCTCCTGTGACCCTCACTGGAGTAATGGCCAGCCAATTACCTGACCAGGGCCAAGCTTGCCCTGGCCCCTCCCAGGGCAACTCTATACACACTCACACACACATACTGGGCTCTCAGCCCTCTGGTTTCCTCCTCACTAGGGCTCCACATCTCCACCCCCTCACTGGGGACACGGGGGCTTCCCTCCCTGGTGGGGACTCAGGTGGCCGTGGCCATGCCTGGCCCTGCCTGGGACTTATACCCTCTTTGGGCTGAGGTGACTGTAGCTGTGCCTGGCCATCTTGTATGCATAATGTTGTGGGGGCTAGGGATTAAGGTGCCCTGACCTGCCTTTTACCAGGGTGGTAAGTGGCCTGGTATTTCCTGGGGGCCTGCACGCCACTGGGAGCCCCACCAGGCCACCCGCTCCTGGCAGGGTGCAGTTTTGGGTCATGCCCAGAACCAGGAGCCTCCAAACCATCCCCATAAGCTCTTGCCCTTACCTCCAAGATATTTTGTACAGCCTTTCAGCTAGGCGAAGTTTCTGCCTGGCTGGCAGCAACAGACTGCAGCCGTTATGTACTAGGTTCTCAAAATGGCTGCCGCCATCAGGCACCTGCTGGATGCCTGACCCAGCCCTTAAAGTGGCAGGCACCAATAGTGCCCTGCCACAGTGAAAATCATGCAAATCATTAATGAAGA